AGCGGAGAATGGATATTCATGTGTACCAGCTTTTTTCTACATGTTTGAGACACTTAATGTTGGTTCTAGCTATTCTATCATGGTAAACAAGGATCGTCATAGGTTTGTGTATTATTTTTTGGCCTTCAGTGCTTGCATTAAGGGATTTTCCCACACGAGAAAGGTAATGGAGGTTGATGGCACTCATTTACATGGTAGATACGAGGGCATGTTGTTGAGAGTTGTTGTACAAGATACGGAGAATCATGTATGTCCAATTGCCTTTTGTGTGGTGGACAAAGAGAATGATGCATCTTGGACATTGTTCTTTGAGAAGTTAAAGGAGATTGTGTTCAATGAACCAGACTTGTGTTTTCTCTCACATAGACACAAGAGTATCACCAACGGCATTGCGAACGTTTACAATCGTGCTCACCACAGATATTGTATGAGGCACCTCGGTGAAAATCTCCGCATAAATTATCATTGTGGAGATTGACTTTATCTTTACTACAATGCGGCAAAGTCTTATTCTTTGGAAGAGTTTGACAATCATTTTGTCGAATTCAAGAACAAATGTCCCGCAGCAGCCGTTGTTCTTGAGTATGATATAGGTTTTGAGAAGTGGAGCAGGGGACATTTTCGTGGCAATAGATTTGATGTGATAACCACAAATATCGCTGAGTCATCAATGCTATGTTGATAGACAAAATAGAGTATACGTGACATTAATATTTAATTAAATTGCTAAGAGGTTCAGAGAATTGTTTAGGGAGAGGCATGAATATATACTTAAATCAATGGGTAATCAAATGGTGCCTTTTGCCAAAAAAATTGCAAGAAAAAAATGATCGGGGGAGAATCCTTATATGTGGAGAACGTAATCGGTGAAGATAATCAATTTACCATGTTCGATGCAGGTGTTACCGCATATGTGGACCTACTAGAAAATTCATGCTATTGTATGAAATATGACTTGATCAAGATACCTTGTGCTCACGGGATGGTCGTTTTGTGATCGAAGCATGGCAACGTGTATGATATGAGCATTTATGACTACTCTTCGCCTTTTTATAAAGTTGAATCGTAACTCTTTGCATACTTAGTTCTATTAATGATGTCCCCTCTCGAGTCGGAATGGTGTGTTCCATAAGAGTTTCTTAATGTGAAAATTCTTCAGCCTCTTGTATACCAAGCGTGGAAGAAAACGTGTCAAAGGTATCAGTGAGAGTTTCAAGAGCAAAAGAAGGAACAAATGTTCAACTTGTAAGAAAACCGGACACAAGAGAACTACATGTGTGAACAACAACAAATCTTAAAGAAACTTGATTGAATTTGTAAGCTACTGTAATCAATCTACTGGGGAAACTACTTTTTTTTGCTGACAACATTTTGATCAATTTAGTGTCATCTATTATCGTAATTAGTCGTGATCTAATATAGATCAATCTAAAGACGACATAAATTTTGTAAGCTATCTTTAGTATTCATCCGAGTCCATCCATTCTCTATTAAACTGTGTATTATTAATCTGAAGTTGTGTATTTTAATGCATGTGTAATTTTTTCATCATCATCATCATCGTCGTCGTCATCATCATCATCATCATCGTCATCATCATCATCATCATCATTATCGTCATCATCATCGTCATCATCATCGTCATCGTCATCATCATCGTTATCATCATCGTCGTCATCATCTTCATCATCATCGTCATCATCGTCGTCGTCGTCGTCGTCGTCATCATCATCGTCATCACCGTCGTCATCATCGTCATCATTATCATCATCGTCATCATCGTCATCGTCATCATCGTCGTCATCATCAT